CAGCAGCAGCAGCAGCAGCACCAGCGGCCGCACCAGCAGCCCCCCCTACTGCCACTGCCCCCGGTTCCCCCCCCCGTTCGGGTCCCCGTGTCTCACCAGGTTGCTTCGTCCCCCCAGGTGTCTGTGTCGTGTCAGGTTCCTACGTCTGTTCCAGTCGCTGCGTCGTGCTCCTGCCGGTCGCTTGCCCACCCCACCGTTCTGTGGCACCACCGGATGGGGCACCTGTCCCTTCCTCGTCTGCGCGCTATGTCTAGTCAGCGTCTTGTCCTAGGCCTCCCACGTGTCTTGCCGTCGCTGCCGCCTTCGCTTGCGCCGCCGTGTCGTCCCTGCGTCGAGGGTAGGCTGCGCGCCACCCCTCACTCCTCCTCCCTTCGTCCGGCCACCGAGCCTTTTGAGACGCTTCACTTGGACGTCTGGGGCCCCGCCCCTCGTCTAGGCCCTGAGCGTGAGCGTTACTTTCTGGTGGTCGTTGACGACTTCTCCCGCTACACCACAGTGTTCCCACTGGCGAAGAAGTCTGAGGTGACTTCTACGCTGATCAGGTGGTTGCTCACCACCGAGGACACTCGTGGTCGTCGTGTCAGCTGTCTCCACTCCGACCGTGCGGGTGAGTTTCGCTCCGGCATTCTCGCTGGATTCTGTCGCGAGCAGGGCATTCGTCAGTCCTGGACGCTTCCAGAGTCCCCACAGCAGAATGGGGTTGCTGAGCGCCGCATAGGCCTGGTCATGGAGATCGCCCGCACCTCCCTGACTCACGCCTGTGCCCCCCATTTTCTGTGGCCCTACGCGGTCAGGTACGCCGCGCACCAGCTGAACCTCTGGCCACGTGTCTCTCGACCAGAGGTTTCACCGACCAGTCTTTGGACAGGGTCCCCTGGTGTTGCGTCGCGGTTTCGTGTCTGGGGGTGCTTGGCTCTTGTCCGCGACACCTCCGCGGACAAGCTCTCGCCTCGTGCCGTCCCCTGTGTCTTCCTTGGTTTCCTTGAGGACTCCTCTGACTTCACCTTTTACCACCCTCCCTCTCACCGGTTCTTTGACTCCCGTTACGTCCGTTTCGAGGAGTCCACTCCGTACTACGTTAGGTACCCCAGTCGAGGTCTCCCGGTTCCTCCTCCCCCCCTCTTCCTGACTGCCGCTCCCCCTCCTGCTCCCCTGGTACAGCCTCCCCCCCCTGGCCCAGCCCCGTCAGGTGTGTCCCAGGCTACCCCTCCTCCTTCGGTAGCCCCTCCGGTACAGCCTCCCTCCCCACAGTCCTCCTCGCAGCGTGCCGCTGGTGCTAGCTCTCGAGAGGTTGGTGCTGCGCCTGTTCCTGTACCGGTTTCTGGTTCTGGGGGTGCTGGAGTTGGAGCTGGTGTTGGAGCTGGAGGTGGAGCTGGAGTAGGCACTGGAGTTTCTGGTTCTGGGGGTGCTGGAGTTGGAGCTGGAGTTTCTGGTTCTGGAGTTGGAGCTGACCCGGTGGGTGCAGAGGACTCTTGTCGTCCGGGAGCCGGTGCTGGCCGCGCGGACTCTGGGGGTGCTCCCTCTGGGGGTGAGGGTGCGCCTGCTTCGGGTTCTGGTGCGCCTGGGTCTGGAGCTGGTGTTAGTGCTGCCTCTGGGGGTGGTGCGCCTGGTTCTTCGGGGGTTGACTCTGGAGCTGCCGCTGCTTCGGACACTACTCCGCCCCCCCACCCCTACCCGACTAGGCACCAGGCTCGTGTTCGCCGTGCGCGTGACGAGCAGCTGGAGTTGGAGAGAGAGGAGAGGGAGTTACAGCGGCTGGCGGAGCAGCAGCAGCAGCTGGACCCGCAGGAGCAGCAGTCCCAGCAGCAGCCGCGTCCGCAGCAGCAGCAGTCGCAGCAGCAGCCACTTCCTCCTCCTGTCTCGGGTCTTCGGGCCCTTGGTCTCCCCTCCCCTTCTCCTCCCTCCTCCGCCTCTCCTCCTGTCTACGGTCCCACGTTTCCTCCGCCTGACTCCTCCCCCGCTGTTTTCTCTAGTTCTCCGCCTTTGTCCTCTCCTCTGTCTCGTTCTTGGGCTACTCGTCGCTCCCCTCGTGCTCGTCCCTCGTCTCCTGTTCCCTTCACTGACCTTCGTACTGCCTTACTTTGTTCCAGTCCACCTCGTCCGTCTCAGTCTGTGCTTCCGTCTCCTCCTGAGTCGGCCCTCACCGTGTCGTTCCCTGCTCCTGTCACTGACTACTACCGCACGTACCGTCCTGTTCTCTCTCGTGTTCTTGCCTCTCTTGTTACTCACCCTCGTGCCTCTGTGTCCTCTGTGTCTGCTCTTACTGCTGCGGTTACTGACTTTGCCGCTACCCGCCGCCTTGACTACGCCACCACGCTTGTGGCTGCTCCTCCTACCAGTCCTCTGGCCGTCGGGGGTGTGTCTGCCCTTGGCTGTGACGCCCTAGAGGACAGGCAGTTTGAGCTAGAGTTCCTGGCGGCCGCTTCCCCTCATCTCTGTGCCATGCTCCTCGCCCCTGAGGGTGACCCCGACGCCCTTGACATTCCGACTCCTCGCACTTACGCTGAGGCAGTGTCAGGGCCTTGGGCATCTCAGTGGAGAGCTGCCATGGACGCAGAGATGGCCTCCTACAGATCCACAGGCACCTACGTCGATGAGGTTCCCCCCCCTGGGGCGAACGTAGTCGACGGCATGTGGATCTACAGGGTGAAGCGGCCACCGGGATCTCCCCCGGTCTTCAAGGCGCGCTACATGGCTAGAGGTTTCAGTCAGCGCGAGGGAGTTGACTTCTTTCAGACCTTCGCACCTACCCCGAAGATGACCACTCTTCGGGTGTTACTACACGTAGCAGCACAGAGAGACTACGAGTTACACTCTCTCGATTTCTCCACTGCTTTCCTTCAGGGCAGCCTACACGAGGAGGTCTGGTTGCATCGTCCCTCGGCCTTCACTGGCACTTTCCCTCCTGGGACCCAGTGGAGGCTGAGGCGACCTGTTTACGGTCTTCGCCAGGCCCCTCGCGAGTGGCACGACACTCTGCGTTCTACCCTCTCTGACCTTGGGTTCCAGCCGTCTTCTGCCGACCCGTCGCTGTTCGTTCGTCGTGGCTCCACACCGTTCTTTGTTCTGGTCTACGTCGACGACCTCGTTTTCGCCACTCCGGACAGGGTTGCTTTGGCAGACGTGAAGTCCGAACTGCAGGAGAGACACACGTGCACTGATCTTGGTGAGCTGCGCCACTACCTTGGCCTGCAGATCACCAAGGACAGAGCCGCTCGCACCATTACACTCTCACAGTCACACATGGTGCAGCAGGTCCTTCAGCGGTTCGGGCTTCAGCACTCCACCGTACAGCGCACACCTCTCGCTGTTGACCACAGACTCACTGGTCCCTTTCCTGACGAGCCGTTTGAGCCTAGTGGTCCCTACGCAGGGCTTGTGGGTTGCCTCATGTACCTGATGACTTGTACTCGCCCGGACCTCGCCTTCCCTCTCAGCATCCTTGCGCGCTTTGTTGCGCCAGGGAGACACCGTCCTGTTCACTGGACGGCAGCTGTGAGGGTGGCGAAGTACCTAGCGACTACATCAGGCGTGGGGCTAGTTCTTGGAGGGCAGCAGTCTGTCGTACTCACTGGTCACTGTGACTCCTCTTACGCTGACGACGCTGAGACTCACAGGTCTACTCAGGGGTACTATTTCAGTCTGGGTTCTGGAGCTGTTTCCTGGCGTTCCACGCGCTCCTCTTCTGTCTCGACCTCTACAGCTGAGGCTGAGATTTACGCTGGTGCCATGGCGGCACAGGAGTTGCGGTGGTTGACCTTCTTGCTCGCCGACCTTGGTGAGCGGCCGAGCTCTGCACCGACCTTGTTTACTGACAACAAGGCGTCGATCCTCCTCTGTCGTGAGCCGCGACTGCAGAGCAGAGTGAAGCACATTCACGTCAGGTACTTTCTTCTGCGAGAGTTGCAGAGACGTGGACAGGCTCGCTTCGAGTTCGTGGAGTCCGAGGCCAACACTGCAGACATCTTCACCAAGGCGCTTCCGCCTTGTGACCACCAGAGGTGTTGTGTGCAGTTAGGCCTTGTTGACACAGGTTCTAGTCATGTGTAGACTTGAGTTTATTGCCTGCTTCGTCTGTACTCTTGCTATATATACTTGTGATCTCTTGGACTGGCCTTGTGGCCACTGTTGCTTGTGCCCAGAGTGTGTGGTGACGTTGTGATCCACCCTGAGCTTTGTTTTCTTTTGGACTGGTCTTGTGACCGTACTCTTTTTGATTTTGCTAGACACCCCTCACTTAGGCTATGGGGGTGTGTCAAATGTTGTAGCCTGTAGTGAGGTTTGTCTTAGGGGGTACAGAAGTTAGGGTTTGTCATATGTACCCCAACCAACATCAATGGACACACCATTCCTCATTCTGACATATCATAACACCCACCCCGCACAAGCTACCCGGGGGTGTTCAATTACGGGGGGGTGGTTAGTCCGGGGGAATATGGTATAAAGGGCTGTGATTGATTGAGAATGTCGCGTGCAAGCTGGCAGAGATTGATTCCCTGCCAACACACACAGTCAGAATGAGTCAACATGCGCCCCTGACAGCTCATTCTGACTGCACGAGCTGCCAGTGAGCTGAGCGAGGGTGAAAGGGCATCTAAATTCAATGTGGGAATGCAAATGTTGAATTCGTTACAACGATTTCAGTAAAATTATATTTAAAAAAGAAGAGGGTGGCGCTTATAATCCGTAAGCCTTCAGGGGTGCGCTTATAATCGAGGACCGGATATAAGCGTCCTCGTCCTTTTATAAGCGCCAGCGCTTATCCGAGGCCTGCGCTTCTATCCGGGGGCTTACGGGAACGTAGCCTTTTTGCTCTAGGGTAAAAATTCTGATACCATGTTTTGGCAAGGGTAACTGGGAAAAAGCGGCCGCTCATCAGGGTAAAAAGGGTATTTTACCCTAATAATTTGGGCCCTGCCCTACTGATTTGTAAGAAAGTTCACAGTTGTCCCTACTTGGTACATTTACACAAGATTCTGCTCATTCACCAATGCAACTTATTACCCTGCTGTGGCATCTCTTACTGTAGCAGGTTTGTTTTGTTTTTTTCTAGTAAATTTGACCTCCTCCAGCAACTCAGAAGCTTTCGTTTGGATGAGCCTCCACGCCGCCTGCACATGCGCCATCTCTGTCTTCACCGCCCTTATTGCCATGCGCAGTGTGTACTGCCCCGATAGCACCTGCACGGGGTCACAGGGAGGCAGGTTGAAGGGTTAAGTGCCCCCTGCTCTTAGATGCAGGCGATTGAACGAGGCACGCAGCAGCATGGTGCGGGACTCACAGCGTGTGTGAGGTGCTTCTGAGGAGGAGCCTCAAGAATGTGTGTGTGTGGTAAATTTAAGGAATGGAGAAGCATGCAGCAACGTGGTCTCACAGTGTGTGTGAGGTACGCCTGCCCGCTGCTGTTTATCGCCTCTAGTAGCGCCGCGTTCACCTTCCTCCCTGCATCCTCACTGCCATCGCCCATCACCCCCTCGTCCCCCCCTCCACACGGCACCCCGCTGTGTGTCCGAGCTGCGGGCGGCTTGAGGCGAAAGCAGACGAGCGCGAAGGGGCGCGGAGCCATCAGCTGAAGGGCACGGGGGAAGTGGGCATTGGGGGAGAAAGAGAGGTGGCATCATCCTGAGGAACAGGGGTACGTGAGAGGGTGCATGAGAGGGTGTGTGAGAGGGTGTGTGAGAGGGTGTGTGAGAGGGTGTGTGAGGGGGTGTGTGAGAGGGTGTGTGAGAGGGTAGCACAGGCGATGCATGGAGAGAGTGATAACATGAAGCAGTGCAGCTCACTTGGAACCGATCATCTTGCCGCACAGCCTCCTCGAACCACTCAGCAAGTGCCACGTGGCGCCTGATGTATGCACGAATACCATCCGCCCCGTACGTGCGCAGCACCATCCACAGCTTCAGTGACCTGCAAGGGAGGGGCGGTGGGTGGCGGTTGTGGCGTGGGCAAGGGCAAGGGCATGGGCATGGGCATGGGCATGGGCATGGGCATGGGCATGGGCATGGGCATGGGCACTGCATGTGCATGAACATTGCATAGGCATGGGCATGGGAATGGTGGTGAGCAAATTGGACAGAGCGGAAGTAGGCTTAGAAAAAAAAAAAAAAAAAAGTTAACCAGAGAGAAGGAATTGAAATGAATATGGATCGGGGATTTCAGGATTGTATGCAGAATGGAATGAGACAAACCCACTGCGTGCAGCTGTGGCGGGCAGGTGCATGAGGGGAGGGGAGGGGCACACCTGAAGCGGCGGCCAATGGGGATCTCCCAGTCCTTGTAGTCAACCACGTGATGGTTCTCTGATGCCTGCCATGCAGGGAGAGAGAAGAGGAGAGGAGAGGCGAGGAAAGAGGTAGTGTGTGTACTCATGTGGATGCACATGAGTAATCTGCGAAAGAGCATACTGTGATAAGGGCATACTGTGATAAGGGCATACTGTGATAAGGGCATACTGTGATAAGGGCATACTGCAGTAAGACTACAGTGCAATAAGGGAATGTTGTGATAAGAGCGCACAAGAGCACAGTGCAAAGTAAGAGCTCACTTCGATGAGCACTACAGAGCGTACGAGCGCACCTTGTTCCGCAGGTATTCCGGCAGTATGGACAGTGCTTTCACCAGAGGCCTGCTGTCCTGGTGGGGCATGGGCATGGGCATGGGCATGGGCATGAGCATGGGCATGGGGACATGGTGAGGTGAAACGGGTTGTGGCGCAGTGTGTTGCAAAGTGGTGCGGTGTACAATGGAGTGGGTCCTAGTGCATGTAGCGCAAACACGTAGGGTATCATCTGCCCCAACATAGAGAAGGTACATTACCCACCCAGTAGCACCACCGCAACCATGCAAACCTCCTGTCTGCAGCCACTTCGCAGCGCACCACCCCTCCCACCGGCACTACCAGGTTTCCCACCTCCCCTCCCACTGGCCGCACGTACCTGCATCCACATGCAGCAGCAGTCGAAGCTGGTGAGCAGCCACTTGTGGGCGTTGGACGCTAGTGAGTCGGCCAGGTGCACGCCTGTCAGGTGGTGCCTCATCTCAGCGCACATGCATGCCATGCCTGCATACGCTGCGTCCACATGCCATGTGCCTGTGCACGTGGTTGCAGAGGAGGGAAGACGAGGGGGGGATAAAGGGTACGTTCCGATGCAGCTGAGTATGAGCCCACATGTGGCGTGTCATGGCATGGCATCACATGGCATGGATCAGTGTTATGGTGTGGCATGGCACGGCATGGCATGGGATGGCATGGCACGGCATGGCATGGGATGGCATGGCACGGCATGGAATATCATGGCATGGTGTGGCGTGGCATGGCAAGAGGGCATATCAAAGCTCACCTTTGCGATGGCGGCCAGAGGGGCGATTGGATCAACAGCAGTGGATGACGTGGAGCCAGCCTGCCATGACGTGGCAGAGGAGCAGAACAGGTACGAGGCATGGACTGGATGCATGAGTCATTGGCAGTGACAGAGGGGTTGATATGAGGACGAGCACGGGGCGATATGGAAATGTAGCACAGGTACACATGCACACAAGCGACACCTCATGCGCGAGGTGGTTTATCATAACATGTGAAGGGTAAGAAATGAGGTACCTTCCACTTACAATGAGAGCGAGGAAGAGGAGAACGAGGCACCTCCCACTTACAGTGAGGACGAGGAAGAAGGGAATGATGCCAGCAGCTTCATCCCTCTGCACCGCATCCAACAGCTGCCGAGCAGTGAGGGCATAAGCCGATGCAGCGGTGGTGGGCAGCACACGCACGTTGCCCTCGGGTATGCCTGCCACACGGCACGCTTTGAGTGCACATGCATGCGTCTGATCCGACACGTATGCCACTAGACAATGTGCTGCCCTGTCCTCCGCACTGCCCCATGGGGCCCCGGCAGCCTCTCCCTGCTCACACGCACCAGCAGCAGCCTTGCTGGCAGCAGCCGCCCCACCACTGGTGCTGCCAGCCTGACCAGCACCTGCACCAGTGCTACTGGTGGTACCAAAAACACAAGCCCCACTGCCATCGCCATCCCCATCGCCTGCAGCGTCCGCCGGCCACTCCTCATGTGCCACCCCCACGCTCCCGTTGCACCCCTGCCTGCCATTCCGTGATGACACTATCCTCCATATAAGCCTGCTCTCCTCCTCGTTAAGGTGTGCTATCAGCCGCCCCTCTGCCGCCCGATTCTCCTCCTGAGCACCCTGCCTGCTGCCTGCTGCTGCTGCTGCTGAATCTGCTGCCGCTTCCTCCACACTACCAGCCTGCCCCACCACGCGGTCCAGCACTCTCCGCCTGGCGGCCAGCAGCGCCTCACTGGCCGTGCCGTGAATTACCCCCCCTCCCTGCCCGCCTGCCACGCCACCAGCCACAGTAACAGTGACACGCACGGCCCAGTATGTTGAGGGGGGGGGGTTAAAGGAAGGACGCAAGTGTGCACAATCTAAGGTATGCTCATGCTGATTAGGGTGCTCATTAGGCTGAACGTTCAAACAAGCAACTGAGTGAAGAGCTTGCCACAATGCGCCACTCTCCCTCGTCTAACTCCCCCCGACCTCACCCCCCCTCTCCTCTCTCCCCACCTCCCATCATCACCCCCCACCCCACCCTACCCCACCGCACATGACTTGAGCGATGGAACCTCTCAGGAAGTCCTGGCAACTCCACCATCCAGTCCATCACAATTTCCTTCAGCTCCATGGCAGCAGCGGCAGCAGCTCAGGAGAAGCCACCCTACCCCTCCTCACCTGAGTTCACCGAGTGGAACCCATCTGGACATGACAGTCTCTTCGAGCTCCGTGGCAGCAGGAGCAGCGGCCCACGAGAAGCCCACAGCGTTGAGGGCACTGATGAGGGCGCTGATGAGGGCGCTGATGAGGGCGCTGATAAGGTCATTGGTGCACTGATGACCCCCCCCTTTCCCCGCTCAACCCCTCACCTGACTTAACCGAGTGGAACCCATCGGGAAGCCCTAGCAACTCCACCATCCAGACCATGACGACCTCCTCCAGCTCAGTCGCCGCAGGGGCAGCGGCCCAGGAGAAGCCGACGACGTTGAGGGCGCTGATGAGGGCATCAGCACAGATGGCGGCGGCGCTGGTGGGCGAGGAGAAGAAGGTGAAGAAGGCCGGGCTCTGCCAGTGCGTCAGGCCCGGCAGGATGGCGCTCGATATGTCAGTGCGGTGCAGAGGGGGGTGGAGGGATGGAGAGGAGGGGTGCGGGGCGAGGAGGGGTGCGGGGCGACGAGGGGTGCGGGGCGAGGAGTGCGTTGAGGGAGAAGAAAGTGGGTGTGGCAGTGGGTGGAAGGGAGGGAATTACAGGTGCGAGATACCTGTGGGAGGGTAGGGGCAGGCAGCGAGGGAGGGGAGTGGGCAAGGTGGTTCAAAGGAAGATGGAGGAATGCACACAGGTGGGGCCAAGGCGACGGAACACAGATGGGGGCGAGAGGGAGCGCGCATGATCTGAGAGAATGGCGTCCAGTGGTTCGCCATGCTCGGGGGCGTGGGCGGGCAGCAGAGGCCGCAGATAGCCGGGCTGTCATGCGCATGCAGGGCAAGGCATGGGCAGTGCGGTTAGCGGGCACAAGCATGGAGTGCAGTGGGATGCGTTGCAGTGGGATTGCAGGAGAGGGAGGGGGTGCAGGAGAATGAGTGCGTCTGGTGTGCTCACAACTGCTGGTAACCGCATGCGACCAGCCCTGCTGCATGCCGCGGGTGCACTCACGCAATTCTCCTCCACCTCTTCCACCAGTGCCTGTTCTCTCACAACCGCCCTTACTCTCTCACAACCGCCCTTACTCTCTCACAACCGCCCTTACTCTCTCACAACCGCCCTTACTCCCTCACAACCGCCCTTACTCCCTCACAACCGCCCTTACTCTCTCACAACCGTCCTTACTCTCTCACAACTGCCCTTACTCCCTCACAACCGCCCTTACTCTCTCACAACCGCCCTGCATGCGATGCTGCTGCCAAGTGCTGTCAACTGCGAGCGTGGCATAACATGGCATGGCACCGTACGACATGGCATGGCATGGCACCGTACGACATGGCATGGCATGGCACCGTACGACATGGCATGGCATGGCACCATACGACATGGCATGGCATGGCACCGTACGACATGGCATGGCATGGCACCGTACGACATGGCATGGCATGGCACCGTACGACATGGCATGGCATGGCACCGTACGACATGGCATGGCATGGCACCGTACGACATGGCATGGCATGGCACCGTACGGTACGGCATGGCATGGCACCGTGCAGAAAAGCACAGCAAGGCACGGCGCGCTATAGCATGCCATGCCATGCCATGGTAAGGCATGGCACGGCAGGACACACGTGGCTCACCTGCACGGTGGAGCACACGGGTCTGTCCCCCACGCCCTGCAGATAGTCTGCAATGAACTCCACCATGCGGTGACCCTGCCTGCGCACCTCCTCCGCCTCCAGCGCTCTGAATAATGTGCCCTCTGCTCCTGCCCCGCTTGCAATAGCACTGCCTTCCTGAGCTGTCACCTCGTTAAAAGCACCGTCCTGCACTGTCAGCCCGTTACAAGCATCTTCCTGCACTGTCATCCCGTTACAAGCACCGTCCTGCACTGTCATCCCGTTACAAGCACCTTCCTGCACTGTCATCCCGTTACAAGCACCTTCCCGCACTGTCATCCCGTTACAAGCACCTTCCTGCACTGTCATCCCGTTACAAGCACCTTCCTGCACCTCCGTGGCTTGCTCCCTCGCTACCATCTCCGCTGTCGCAGAGGGACGAGGCGGGGTCGAGGGGGTTCGGGGCGGCGCAGGCGGAGGCGGGGGGAGCGCGAGGGCGAGTCACACTCGTGGCGTTTTCTTGCCGCGCCACGTCGTCAAGGCGAGGTTGCTATGAAAAGTGAGCGCGGCGCGGGAGCTGTTACAGTGGTACTTCTTGCAGGTCACGGCGGTTCCGCGTGAAGTCCGACTGTCTGTGCGCGCCGGTGATGACGAGCACTAGTAGTGTTACCCTTTCTACGAGGTCGCGGGAATATCACGGCGTGTGTTTCGGTGGCGTGCGGAGTTATTTCTTGCGGAGGCGTTAACGTGAAAGGTCTGCACGCTGCTGTCTGTCGAACGGCGGGAGGCGCGCGCTTCAACCTTGTATTTCTAGGAGTACGCTCGACGCACCGAGCGACGCTGAAAGATTGGTGGCACCCGCCGAAGTCGTTCTCCACGCCACGCCGACGCGGCCCTGCTCCGCCACTCGCTGAGTGTTGCTCTACTTCGCCTCGCGAACGCGGATTCCGGGCCAAGAAGCAGCTTACAGGCGGCTCGACCGAGGAGGGCTCGCGACTCGCCTTGCGCCATGCCGTGCCTTGGCTGCCTCGAGGGCGCTGCCAACCATTCATATCCCGCCGAATCGCCCAAATTCGCTCGACAATTGCCCCTTATTGTGGCGCACTGCAGTCTGTGAGGAAATTTCGCGACTCGCCGGAGCACACCTGGCAGCTTCTCTGGTAAGAAGGGCTTGGCGGAAGGGTTGACAAATCTGTTGACTTGGCGCGCCACTTGGTTGATGGTGATGCAAGGGAGGGAGTCAACACTGCAATGAAATTGCTTTCGACGATACATAGATTGGGCGATCAATCTTCCAACATCGATCTCCACCGTACTGTAAATACGCTTATTGTATCCAAGAGTTCCAGAACCTTCCGCCAATAATCGATACTGTGGCAGGTTCGATGACATGAGTGTGACGAGAGAATCCCCGAAAGCAATTTCTGATGTGGACATATGGTCTGTTATGAGTTGTAAAAGAGAGTGCGCAGGTAAACGAATAACGAGGCTGTGACTGAATCAACTAAGAATACAATGAGTGCACAGACTAATGTAGGGCTGGTCTAGCTAGGAGGAAACCTCGGACGAGCGAGGTTGGGTGCAGGTTTGGCGATGGGAATGCCGAAGGCGACGCGAGGAGCCTCGGCAGCGTTGAAATCGGCCGAACGTGCGAACTCCGAAAATCGGGTTGCACGCGAAGCAGTCAACCCCGATAAGGAATTCGAGAAAATTCCTTACACCACCCCCCCCCCCCCTTAAGAAAGGCAGTCAATATCCGAAACACGCCGTCGCGCCAGGTAATCACCAACAAGTGGCGAGGCGTCGAGCGAGGTGGATGGCACCCACGTGTCGTCCTCACTTGTGCGGTCAGTCCAGCGAATTAAGAAATCTACGTGTCGGCCAGCTGCGTCAAGGCAAACCCGATGAGCGAGGATTTTGGAAGGGTCAAGGGTCGGCTCTGGTGTTGGAAACAATCGGTCATAAGCGCCTCTGTCGTGTCGAAACACTAAGGCACAAGCGAAGCAAAGCATATCGAGGCACCAGCGAGTCAACCCTCGGAGGTTGAAGTAACTGCTGGAGGTTACGCGAAAGTCAAAGGTCAGCGACCTTTGACCTGACAAGTACAACGCGACAGCAAGGACACACAACTGACTCGCTACAGAGCAGTTGCCCGAGTCGTCACTGTATCGAACCGCAACAGCAACAAGTAAAACAGTTATAACCGTATCCTTTCATATTCCTTGTACTCTTATATAATCTTGTATCTCCTTGTTCTAATCAACTTACTTTGCCCTCAAATAATAGCGCAAGGTAGTTCACAACTCTTTAATTAACGCTTCCGTTACTACACCAACTCTACTTAGAGTTCACCCCTGCAAAGATCCTAAGGGCCTTTCCAGCCCAACATGGTATGAGAGCAATCAGGGGGAATTCAACTTCTACACCGACAACATCAATCAGCATGGCTACACAAAAGGAAAGGAGCTCCTCCAACGGCTCCCAGGGCACTACTCCTACTCCACCTCCTGCCTCTGGCCTACAAACAGAGGAGGGCACGGCAACAAGACCCAGAGCAACATCTACCGAGACTCCCCCGCGAATCAACCTGCAGACTTCGACCAGAGCATGATGGAGAAGTTTTTCTCCTTCATGTCCTTCTACGAGCAACACCAGTAATCGGCACCTGCGCAGTCACACAACAGCAATAACAACGGAGCAACACCCATGAGTCTCGACGGCTCATCATATGCATGAGGAAATCAACAACAGCAGCCTACCTTTGCTCCGTACGAGCGCGGGTCCATCAGCTTTATGCCACACCCACAGCCTTCACCTGGACAAGAAAAATCACTGGACGCATTACAAGTTCAGTCGCAGTTCGCACACGTTCTGAAGATGCAGACGTCAAGACCCTTCGATGGAAAGGACTTCTTCACCTGGTCGTTCGAGTTCGAGCTGATGATGGAAGGCGCGCAGATACTCGGGTTCTTCGACGGGTCTTTGCCATACCCAACAAACGGCACACAGTACGAGAAGCAGCAGTACACCTATCAGTCAATGATGGCGTACACGATCCTACTGAGGAACATCACCCCGACTCAACAGCAGAACATAAGAACTTACTGAGGTTACGGCAACTCCGCGGAGCTCGCGTACAACCACCTGAAGAGCCTGTATCAAGCAACAGACAGCGTAAGCCAAAGTCGGTTAATGGCGCAACTGACAACGGTTGAAATGAAACCAGGGGAGAAAGGAATGGCGTATATCAGCCGATGTTGCGAGTTGCGCGACATGCTTCTTCGATGCGAAGGGTCGATTTCTGAAGACGCCTTCGTGACAGTCATCATCGGCGGCCTTGGTCCTCAATGGCGCGCCACAAAGGCCATTCTCCGAGCTCACGGAAGAATCTCAGAAGCAGCGCTCTGCGCCAAAATCCACGCCGAGCAGCAAGACATGGACCTGCAAGAAGAACGACACAAAAAGAAGACATCAGCACCGGAATTCGCGTTCCACACTCAGCGATGCTACAATAACAACAACAACCGGCAGCAACAACCGAAGCCAGTACCTCCGTTCTGCCACATCTGCAAAACTTCAGGACACCCGCGTACACACTGCCAGAATCGTCAACAGTCAACAACCCCACAACGGCAACTTCGACCTTCAAGCAGCCAAATCGCCTCAACGCAAGCAAATCCCACGACTCAGATTCAAGCCTCAACGACCTCAACAGGACAACCTGCACAAGGAGCAAGAAACATCGTCAGCTGCATGGCAAAGCTGAGTGACTCCTGCATCACCGAGTCACCACCACACTACTCACCGGAAGACCAACTCGACGAAACCACACCCCGCCGCGAGTCACTTCAGCCGAACCTGACATACGCCGCCATCGCCCAAAGCGAACCATCCGGAAGGGACACATGGTTCTTGGACAGTTGCTGCGGACAGCACATGTGCTCCTCGGGACGCTTCGTTCAACGAGAACACCAACTTCAACGCGAAGTTGTCATTACAGTCGCCAACAATCAGAACCTGCGAACTTGACGACAAGGTGTAGTTCAACTTCAGTCAAGGGAAACAAACGTTGTACTGCATATGTCAAAAGTACTAATCGCGGAGGGACTCGGCTACAACTTACTGAGCGCCAGTCAGCTAATGGCGTAAGGGATTCACCTCGAAGGAGACAGCACCACCCAAGAATTCAAGCTGTATCACGGGAGAGGAGGACTCTACATCGGCAAGGCGGTTCTCAAGAACAACGTCTTCGTTCTTGACTTCGTTCCTGACCTTGGCACCGCCGATAGCGACGCCATCGTTAACTTTACCAACTGGACACACCCTCCAGACCTTGATCCAGACTTCAGTCCAGAAGGCTTCTGGTATTCACACACCATCCCCGAACCAGAAAGAACAAGGGCATTAGCAACAATTCAGACAACATCAGCAGCAGCAGAGACAACATCGGCAGCAGTAGAAACAACATCACCAGCAGCAGAGACAACATCGGCAGCAGCAGAAACAACATCAGCAGCAGCAGAGACAACATCGGCAGCAGCAGAGACAACATCGGCAGTAGCAGAACAATCAACGGCAGCAGCAGGAACGTCAACACCAATGGCTGGTCCTTCAACGACACCGCTCCTCATCGACGACACACCACCGACACCCGCGCAACAACTACACCCAGCACCACGAGAAGTTCATTGTAGCGCCAACTTCACCGCCAACTTCTACTCCAACTCCGATATGTACCGACGGTCACCCGGACATCGCGCCGACGAAAGCACCTGGCACGCAAGGATGGGACACCGAAGCAACACATTATTACACAATACGATAAGAGCAGGAGTACTCGACAAGGACTCACTCCTACTGACCGACGGGCGAGAACTTCAACGAGTACGCGGAACGTGCCTCACCTGCCCTGAAGGTGACTTACCACATCGACCGTTTACGTCTCATCACAACCCGAGCGCACCCGCGTACGCACCACTCGAGAAGGTGTATAGTGACATCCTGTTCAATCGGGAACCAGGACAAGTAACATAAAACTATACAATCACCTTCATCAACGCCGCCACCCGTTACGTCTGGCACCTAAACCTCCCTAGCCGCGACATGGCATTCGCAGCCTTCGTTGTCTGGCTACCAGTAGCAGAGAGAGAATCGGGCGTGAAACTGAAAAGCTTCCCGTCAGACGGAGGAGGAGAATACACCTCTCAGCGATTCAAGCAGTACCTGGCGGAAAGAGGAATCAAGCGGCTCATCTCCCTTCCCTACGCCCATCAGCAGCAAGGTATAGCAGAAAGAATGAACATGACCTTGCAGAACAGCATGCGCAAACTGTTGCGTGGCATGCGGCTACCCAACCACTAGTGGCCTGCAGTAATGGACCACGCTGTCATGCTGCCCAACTTGCTGTCGTCATCATCGCT